CGACCATAGACGAGTCCTCCGAGCCGCCCAGAGCGCCTCTTTAGCCCCGCCCACTTCCGGCGGCGCTCCGCCCCACTTCCGGTCTCTCATGCCCAAAATGGCGGCGCCCACATCTCCCAAAACCAGCGGCGCCCGCTTAGAGCGGCGGCGGCCGCAGCTCCATCCAGATGTGCCCAGGTGTGCCCAGGTGTGCGCCAGCGGTGCCCAGATGTGTTTTTTTGGCGCAGGTGGAGCGGATCAAGGAGCGCGTGGAGGAGAAGGAAGGGATCCCCCCACAGCAGCAGCGGCTGATCTACAGCGGGAAGCAGATGTAGGCGGGGCTTAAATGGGCGTGGCCGCGGGTGGGCGGGGCCTAAAGGGGCGTGGTGGCGGGTGGGTTTAAATGGGGGGAGGGGATTCGGGTGGGAAATGGGAAAATTGGGGTTAAAAAAAGGGAGGGAAATGGGGTTTAAATGGGGGCGGGGCCTACGTGGGTGTGGTCGGGTGGGTGGGGCTTGAAGGGGTTAAAAATGGGGGAAATTCAAGTTAAAAATTCGGAAAATTTGGGCGAAAAATTGAGAAAATTTGGGTTAAAAACGGAGAAAATTGGGGTTGGGGTTTAAGTTGAAAGTGGGGAAGTTGAGGGTTAAAAATGGGGAAATTTGGGGGTTAAAATTGGGTTAAAAGTGGGGGAAATTGGTTAAAAGTCGAGTTAAGGATGGGAGAAAATTGGGTTTGAAATTGGGGTAAAAAGGGAGGAAATTTGGGGTAAAAATTTGGGGAGAAATGGAGAAAATTGGGTTAAAATTCAGGTTTAAAATGGGGAAAATTTGGGTGGAAAATGGAGAAATTTGGGTTGAAATTCGGGTCAAAAATGGGGGAATTTGGGGTTAAAATTTAAGTAAAAAATAGGAAAAATGGGAGTGAGAAATGGGGAAAAATTGGATTAAAATTTGAGTAAAAATGGAGAAATTTGGATTGCAATTTGGGCTAAAAATGGGGGAAATTTGGTTTAAAATTGGGGTAAAAATGGAGGAAATTGGGGGAAAATTGGGTTAAAATTTGAGTGAACAATGAGGAAAATTTGGGTTCAATTTTGGGTTAAAATTAGGGTAAAAATGGAGGAATTTGGGGAATTTTGAGTTAAAATTCCGGTGGAAAATGGGGGAAATTTGGGTGAAAATGGTGAAATTTTGGGTTCAAGTTTGTGTTGAAATTTGGAATAAAATGGGGGAATTTTGAAGTAAAATTGGATAAATTTGGGTGAAAATTTGGGGTAAAAATGGGGGAATTTGGGGTCCAAATTTAAATAAAAAATAGGGAAAAGATGAGTGAGAAATGGGGAAATTTGGGTTAAAATTTGACTAAAAATGCAGAAATTTGAGTTAAAATTCAGGTTAAAAATGGGGAAAATTTCAAAGAAGAATGAGAAAAATTTTGGTTAAAATTGGGATAAAATGGGATCAATTCAGGGCAAAAATTGGCAAATTTGGGGTTAAAGTTTAAATAAAAAATAGAAAAAATTGGGTGAAAAGGGAGAAATTTGGGGTTAAAATTTGAGTGAAAAATGGGAAAAAATTAGGGTTGTAATTGGGGTAAAAATGGAGGAATTTCAGCTTAAATTTCGGGTTTAAATTTGGAAAGGCTGGGATAAAAAACGGAAAATTTGGGTTAAAACTGGGGAAAAAAAATTTGATAAATTTGGGTTCAGATTCAGGGTGAAAACGAGAAAATTTGGGCTTCAAATTGAACTCAAAAACGTGGAAATTTGGGGTTAAAATTGGATAAATTTGGGCCTAAAAGTTGGATTTTCAATGGGGTTGAGTGGGGTGGGCGTGGCCTGGGTGGGCGTGGCCTATGGGGTTTCAAAAGTGGGTGTGGTCTAAGTGGGCGTGGCCTAACTGGGTGTGGCTTCCCCCCCCTCCCAGGAACGATGAGAAGACGGCGGCCGACTACAAAATCCAGGGGGGCTCCGTCCTCCATCTTGTGCTGGCCCTGCGGGGGGGCGTGGCCAGGCCCTGAGGGGGGGGCGTGGCCAGGCCCGGACCCCTCCCCCTCCCTTTCACCCTCCCCCCCACCGCCGTGATTCCCCTTCCCGAGTCCGTTATTATTTAATAAAGGTTCGCTGATGACGTCAGCAGCGCGCGTGTGACGTCGCCGCTGTGTCCGTGGTGTCATTTCCTGGCGACAACTTCCGGCGGGCCCCACTTTGTCGGCGGCGTTGCCCTTTTAAGGCGGCGTTGCCCTTTTAAGGGCATCGCCGCTTTAATGCTCGTGTGGGCCCCACTGGCGGTGTTGCCCTTTTAAGGCAGCGTTGCCCTTTTAAGGCGGCTTTGCCCTTTTAAGGGCATCGCCTCTTTAAGGCCTCTGTGGGTCCCACTGGCGGCGTCGCCCTTTTAACACCTCCCACAAAACCCAAAATTTTCGCCCTAAAATGTCAAATTTTCGCCCCAAAAAGTCGCTTTTTAGCCCCAAAATCACCCATTCCGCACCCAAATCCTCAATTCCGCCCCAAAATTGTTGGTTTTGGCCCTCAAATCCTCGTTTTCCATCCTAAAATCAGGGTGGTTCAACCCCAAAATCTCATTTTTCAGGCCTAAAATAACCCCAAAATCGCACTTTTTGGCCCCAAAATCAACGTTATGGTTCCAAAACAACCGTTTAATACCCAATTTGAATGTTTGTAGGCCCCAAATTCTCATTTTTTTACCCCCAAATCTCCATTTTTAACTCTTAATCCTCAATTCGTCCCCAAAATGCTGCATTTGGCCCCCAAAATTCCCGTTTTGCACCCCTTCATCCCGTCTTTTCGCCCAAAAAAAACAATATTAACGCACAAATTCCCAGTTCTGACCCCAAACTCTCCGTTTTAGCCCCAAAATGGTCAATTTTTGCCCAAATTTCTCATTTTTATCCCCAAAACCGCC